TGTTCACAACAAGCACATTAATGTTTTATTGTATTATTGTATTATTGTCTTTAGCTTCAATGAATGTTAAATGTAACAAGATTGTATTCAAAGTGATTTTGGACCATTTCTGTTGTTCCTTTTTTAAATAATTTGCAGAATACAAAGGGTAGTAGTGTAACTTCCAGGGAGAGGGACTCTGGTAACTATTTTCATACAGAAACCGACTATAGTTTTACTTTGTTCTTAAGTGTGTGCATGAAATAAAGTGTTCTTTCAAACACACCTAAAGTTCAGATACAGCCCTCTCAGCCAACAGAAAGTTGCACTGAAGCATGGTCCACCCACCCAGCCTCCGTGGAGCACATAATAATGTACACAGCGTTTTGGGAATGTGAAAGTAGGCAAGAAACTCCACAATTGGTGGAGTTTCATGGCAGCATTCATTTGGACATCCACTCAATGTACCTGATATTGTAGCTTTCACTGCTTTCAAGAGAGGTTTTTTCATGTCAGTGATGTGTGCTGTTAGCCTAAATGTTATATATACAACATTTTAAACATTAATATAGCAGCAAACAACTATTTTATGTAAAGATATAGCGGAGTAATGGCCTCCTGAGTACAGAACGAAGTATAGCTGGTCTGGCTGTGCGTGCATGTTAGTCCTGCCCTGTGAAAACGCTGGGCCTTCACATGTTTTGTTTTGCCCTCCCCAAGAGACAAAGACAGCGCCTGCCCACACTGCATTGTGCATGCAAGGTAGCTAAGTGCAGCAGAAAACATTCAGGTGAAAGTAACATTCCAAATATTCTTCCATCGAAAGTTCCTTTAAGTTGATGAGGCTGAAGTTGGCTTCCCATTCACGTTTTTTCCTTCTGCACCTGAATGTATCTGCTTCACTATTAAAGGTGGAATGGGAAAATTTTAATAAGAAGCTGAGGCACCTGAATATAGCTTAACTGCTGCACCATTTGGGGTGGAACGGGAAAACCTGAATAAGAAGCTGGTGAAAAAGAAGTTTACTTTAGCTTCATCAAGAGTTGAAAGGCATGAAAAGGAATGAGAATATTGCTCTGTTTCTACTTGACTAGTGGGTAAGATCAACTTTTTTTGCTGTTTCAGAGAACCAATAGGTCAGTATTATTTTGCCCTGTTTGCTTCTGTTTGTAATAGCAACTGATTAGCTTCACAGCAGCAATTGTGGCAAAGTTTGCCAACCCACAGTCTAGCAGATGTTAGTTACATTACTTGCTGTGTTGTTGTTCTCTCTAATGTTATGTCATGGTATTTGTCTGTTCAACATTCGCGAAGCGTTTTATGGCCATGAAGAAAAAAGTTTGCTAGCCCAGTGTCAGTCCCCTTGACAATGCATGCCCATGAATTTGGGGGACAGAGCTTCTGAAGAAGCACTGAAGGGTGGGGTGTATTTTGCTGTTGAGTATCAATATCAACAATGTTTCTCCACAATTACATACTGTACCTTTAAATATCAGAAAATCTCTTAGTTTATGAACCAATTCAGTGATGTTGTTAAACATTTAAAGAGATACATTTTGTTCCCTTTTTCTGCTCTCCATGGAAATTTTCTTGCTATACACAGAAATGGTATCATCTGATCATCAAGAAAAATAAATATTGAAAAATCTATGACAGTAACATTTTTTAAAGTACGTTTCAAAATGACAATGATCTCAGAAAGCATTTAAGACCAGTTTTCAGAAAAAAAAAGATTCCCCCGGTCAAACCTGGCCATTTGCACTTCTAGCAACCTGACAAAAAGATGCAGTTCCTAATCCACACACCTCACCAGTTATCTTCCATCAACTCTACACAGACACATCTGATCTATTTCTTGTATTTCTCATATTTATAATGCATTCATTTAAATGGATCCTTCACATCCTGCAACTTGATATATTCAGTATGTATAACTTTAAAATAATAAAATTTAAAGAATACATCAAAATGTTTCTCAGGAGTCGGTGTAAACTTATTTGGCCAGTGGTGTGTCAGACAGCTAAATATGATGTATAATTACTGCAATACTAATAGGTAGTCTAGATTATAGGTAGTCTGGTTAGATATTAGTGGAAGGATTGGCATGCCTTGAGAGCAAAACCTTGTTTGAGGCATAATAACAGCAAGTACACCAGCACATTCCACTGTGACCACTGTCGATTTTTATTAGTTGAAAGTAATTTTCATATGAGGGGGCCCTATATTTGCACTGGGGATCCTAGTTACATCACTGGTAAAGGGCACTTCAAAGGGCATCTTTAAATGGTGTAAAAACATAAAAAAAAACAAACAAAACATTTCTATATGACAAAAACAATATATTTTTGCACAGTATGCAAAAGTACAGTTGCAGTGCACTTATACTCTATTAAGTAGTCTTGCACAGCCAGATGCTTAGCACCTCCTCCAGAGTGGCTGGGATGATTAGCCTGTGAGCTGTACATCGCATGCATCCAAATCACAGAGGCTTTACAAATGCCACTGGTGTCATCGGAGAACTCCTGCTCCCTTAAAAATCCCAGCCAAGTTCTTAAGTCTACCCTCACAGTGTGATTCAATAGTTCAGCTGTCAACTGGTGCAATACAAATCTAATAGACTGACAATTCCGGGTCAGATTTATCTCTTATTGACATTCTAAGCTTGCCAGACTTAGAATCCTGGCAAGCCAAGGTATTCTAGGAGTGGACGTGCAGGTCCGTGAAGCTCTACCATCAAAACATAAATGATGTAAGTTCAGAGAATTTTGCAGCTTTTAATGTTTTGACGTGTTGGAACTTGTCCCGTATAAAGTTTAGTGACTCGTACTCATCCCATATGTGTTTGCTTAGCTGTGTTGTGTTTACTTGCTAATACTGAACCGTTCTACCTGCAGCCTGCCAACCAGGACACAGGGCAGAGGGACAGTTTTCTCCTTACTGCTGCAGTGTGCCAAACGCTTTGGTTCTCAGTACTTCACAACACAGTGCTGATGACTCACAAAGCTACCTAAACGTTTCAACAGATGGATTCCACTCTCTTCCACGGACAGAGAGAGGGAGCAAGAAGAAGCCTTGCACTCACTGCAAGGAGGAAGTGTGGTGACAAAGAAGAAGCAGAGCCTGACAGAAAGCCTAAACACAATTAGCCGTTCATTTGGTCAGAGAAGTAACAAAACCGCCTCTAATGACCAAACGATCACAGTTCCTAGAAAATCCAAATGAAGAAGTCCTTCACTGCACTGTGTATCCATGTGTTTAGGCTCTGAACACTTTTCCGTAACTTCTTAAATGTGTCACAGTGTTTAGCTGAGCTGTTCTGTTGTTTGAGAACAAACTGGGGACTGTTTGACTGAAACATCTAACAAACACCAGTGATAAAGAAGACAATACTTATTTGGAAAAATTATCACGTGGCCTTTAGATTGTAAAGGCCTACTACTTTTTTGCATTTTACTTTTCCTCCCTGAGGTCTACTTATGATATTTGTGTGGCTTTATATACCAAAAACATTTTAAAATAAATTTTTAACAACCACTCTTTATCCCATGGAATTAAACAGGCTGTTTTTGTTACCTTTACGACTGATCTGTGTAATTGATCTATATAAAAAGCAGTAACCCTAACCCTAATTTCCGAGTCAAAGGGCAGGGCTAAATTGAATAAGTGAGTATATGTACATGTGTTGGGTTTTGTGGCATCAAAAAAAAACCAGTTAATTTAAAATGGGACATTATTTGCAGCTTAGTTTCCATATACACTGTTAGAAATAAAGGTTCTGTGTAGGTACGCTTTTCCTTTGTCAAGGTACAATGAAAGTAAATGTACCCTCAAAGGTACAACAGTGGTTTTAAGGTCTAGCTGTGCACCTTAAATATGTTTTTTTCCAGGTGAAAAGTACATATTTGTATCTTTTCATAATCTAATGTTTTAAAGCAGAACAATAAAATAAAAAGCCTGGAGACGAGACGGGGTGTGTGGAGTCAATACAACTTACAAAATATAATTACAATGGATTTTGGTACAATTATGTTCCCTGACTAAAGGTACTGAGATGTACCCTTGAGGGTACCACCCCAGTGACAAAAGGGGCACTGCCCCAGTGACACACCTTTTTTTTCAGAAAGTGTATGGAATAAGGAGTGAAACTTCTGAGGAGTGAACCAATGCTCACATGCTATGTTAAATAAAAAGCGAGAAAAGTATCTTTCTTCATATATATATATATATATGGCCTCTTTAAACACTGGTTAAGAGTATGAACATGTCACATGATCCATGGTTTTACAGGGTGCATTCTGGATCACAAAGAAATTACTATGAAAAGAAAAGACTGAACTCACTGTAGGAAACAGACAGTGTTATATTCACACAGAGACAGAATGTACTGGTACTGTATACTTCTACTCCAGCCCTTCTCAGCAGCTTAAACAGGGTGAAGGAGGAGGTTGGCCCACAAAAGCTCCAAACTTGACAAGAAAGAAACGAGAGGGCTGGAGAGTGTGACTGGAATAAGTAAAGAGGGAAATACGTCGGTCATTGAAAGGAAAGAATGAACATGACTGAAGAAAATGAGAATTTAGAGGACAGATTCGACGCTCGCTGACCTCTATACTTCAAGTCTCTTTTATTTGTTCTCTCCCCCTCTCGTGCTAATGTTTAAAACATCTCTGGCTTCCTTCCCTGGCCTTTTAAGGAGAAGAGTCCCCCTCTATTCTCTCCCTCTGCCTCTTTCTCATCCCCTCACACCCCTCTCTGGTTTTCACATGTCGTGCCCAGACTAGCTTAGACTACTGAAGCAAAGTTTACCTCAGTTAGCATTAGCTTGGCTAGCGTCACACATTTATCTCTGTAATCTTTCAAAGCTCTGCGGCTGCTGTTGCGCGGCTAGGCTTAGCCCATGTGTCTCAATTCAAATGCAGGACCTCTTCCTGAGCTTTGGATTGCACAACTGGAGCACACTTTCAAGAGTCTGAGCAAGTATTAGATCTTACTCTCAGCCCCACATGAATGATTGAAACACATTTCGCAAACTCTATGATTATTTAATGAGAGAAGATTTCGTTTCACCAACACACATCACAGCAATCGCAGTATCCTATTCCAGATACAGTACACCCAGGGTAGAGTACGATTACACTATCTCTCTCTCTCTCTCTCTCTCTCTCTCTCACACATGCATTCACACTCACATACACTGAAAAAAATGAGTTGGTCTTACTCGTAATGTATAAAGCTGCAGCCCATAACAGATGTGCAGTTTCCATTGGTTTTCACAGGGTTTTTGAAGAGAATAAATTAAGTGCTAAACCTGTTGAGAGTCCTGTACTGGGTTTGTCTCACTACTGGAGACACGGTTATATAAAAATTCACAGCAGCCTTGATAGAGCAAACATGTCACCCCTTATAATATACTTTAAGTGTCTTTTTTTAATAAAATCCCCTCCCCTTTTCCTTTTGCCTTTACCTTTTGGAAAATGTCAACATTTTTCTCAATCTATTTTTTTCATTTCTCATAGTGTTTTACAATGATGTGGTGAAATGTGTGCCGCAAAAGTAAGATTTGGTTTAAAAATGTTCTCCTATACATTCTTTTTAAAAATGTGCCACAAAGAATTCTTTGAGCGATGCCATATAAGAAGCACTTTTGGTTCCTTAAAGCAGTGGTTCTCAAACTGGTGTCCAGTGACCCCCAAACAATCCATGTTTTTGCTCTATCCCTGTGCTGGGTTGGGTAGGAACAAAAATATAGACTGTCTGAGGGTCCCTAAAGACCATTCGGGGAACAAAAAACAAACATTAAAAAAAACGTCGGACAAAGAGATTTGTGAGTGTGAAGAACCTGTGAAAGGCTGAAAGAACCCTCACATAAAATAAAGGTTCTTTACCAATTTAAGGGTCTTTCCAAGAACCTTTACCTTCTGTGGAGGTTCTTTAAACTTTAAAAATGTTCTTCACACTCTTCACTCATCTCATTTCCAAAAGTGTTTCTCCTATGGCATCGCACAAAGAACGCTTTTAGTCACCTTTACTTGTCAGCAAGTACAGTGGGGTCCAAAAGTTTGAGACCGCTGGTGAAAGTGCTCGTATTTTGAACTCTTTTCTCATTTAATACATTTTTTCATTACAATTATCAGCATAACTATTTGAATGGTAAATATATAATCTTTGAAACTGTAACATGACTTTCAGAATATTAGTTTTTCCGTGCCACCTGTTTGCTTTAATTACAGCGTGCACTCAAACTGGCATGGACTTCACAAGTTTCTGCAAAAGGCTCTGATAAGTAGATCAAATCCAACTGAGAGTCGTCTCAAAGTCGTCTCTTCAATGGAAGAGATAGGATTTATAAAATTCTGACCTTTTTGTACAAAGGCCTCAACATGGTCACTGTCACCAATCTAGAAATAGTGCAGAATTTTGAAAATCTTGTCTTATACTTATTTTACTTATATAATATTGTATTATATAATATTTCAATAATTTTCAATTTCTCAATATCCTAAAACTTTGTTATTTATTCCCAGGTTTAACTGAAAAAATCCCCACATTTTCAATGTGGTCTCAGACTTTTGGACCCCACTGTAGACTTCCATGGGCCTCCACTAAGGTTCTAATGATCTTTGCTAGAAAATCCAAATGAAGGAGACTGAATTAGATATAGAACTGGGATGTAAAACTGCTTTCAGAAACTATATTATGTTTTTTATATTATAACAATCTAATGTACCACTGAAGCAGTGATGCATTATTCTCCAATTGTTGGGCTATTACTTCTATCTAATAAAGAACAGAATGCATGTAATCTGCTCTGTACTGTATTGAATGTTGTGGGGGGTGATGTGTTTGTATATGCCATCATTTTCTTCCCTTTCATGTGGAGGAACTTTAAAGCTAGTGCAGCCAGAATCCTAGACGAATAACACATTTGTGCTAAACATTTTAGGAGACTGCGTTAAAATACTCATTTATAATTTACACCACGAGGCGAGGGGATGTTGAATTATTTCTATCTTTTCCGCTGTACAAGACCACTTTGATCCCAAAAAAAGGATGAAGTTCTATGTCCTGTGGAAGCCTACAGGACGTCATTTTCACTCTGTATCCCACTACAGAAGTATTTCACAAAAAAACACCATCATCATTTTAGAACACTGTTAGAACTGTTAGATTTGAGAAAAATGTCTGCATTGCCTTGCAATTAAATTAGTGCAACCCAAATTAAGCACTGAAGTGGTTAAAGGGAAGAAGTCAAAGATCATGTTCCATCTTGTTCAGGCTCCTCCCCTTCATACTCATAGTCCATCTCAGCTCTCTCATACTCTAACTCCGCCCCTCCGTAACCCTCATACCCCTCGCCCTCACAGATAAGCTCCTCCCTCTCATACTCCAGCCCCTCCTCCTCATATTCAAGCTCCGCCTCATCAAGTGCCACAGTAGGCCTTTCAGACTCCCCCTCTTCTTCTTTTCCCTGCAATGCCACCTCCTCCTCAGCTGGGGGTGCTGATGGCACCATCCCATTCGTGGCTGCTGTGTCACTTGCAGCGGCCAATGAGCTGCTACTCATCCTAAGTTTCTTCAGTATCCCGATGATGACCGGCGCGGCTGCCGCCGCTGCTGCCGCCTCCTCCGCTTCCCTTTGCGCTCTTTCCTTGGCTTCCTTTCTTCTTTCCCTGACCTGCAGGGCTTCTTCCGCCCCTTCCCCAACAATGATGACCTCCTCCCCGACCCGTGGAGGCCCCTTCACAGGGTTGTGATCATATGAGAAGAGTCGGAGCGCCGGAAGTTGCAGCAGGCTGGGGAATTCGGAGATGCGGTTGCGATCTAAGTCTAGGATCTCCAGCTGATCCATCTTCAGGAGCACCCGGGGGAACTCCTCAAAGCGGTTGCCATAGAGCCAGAGCCCCCGCAGAGCCTCCATGCGCCACAGGTCGGAGGGCAGGGTCCGCAGCCTGTTGTCGCCCATCTGCAGCGAGCGTAGGTGGGGCAGGTCGTACAGCTGCTTGGGGAAGCGCTGGAAGTAGTTGCTCTCCACCCAGAGACAGCGCAGACTCTGCAGGTTCCTAAAATCCGGTGGCAGGCTCATCAGCCGATTGCTGCCAAGGTACAGGCGGGTGAGGTTGGCCAGCTGGCACACGGCCAGGGGGACGTCATCCATTTTGTTGAAGTCCAGCGCCAGGATGCGCAGGCCCTGCAGCTGCGAGATGCCATCAGGCAGTGTTCGCAGGCGGTTCCCACACAAGTATAGCTTCTCCAAATGCGCCAGGCCCAGCACTTGCTTGGGGAGGCGGCGGAATTTGTAGTAGCTCAGGTCCAGCACTGGATCTCCACTTGCAAGAAGTTCGTCCACACCTAACGGCAGCTCTTCATCTGGAGCCTCCTCTTCCTCCTCTTTTTCTTTTATCGCTTTTTCCTCCTTCTCGCCATCCTCCTCCTTTTCTTTTTCTTTCTCCTCCCCTCCTTCTTCCTCGCCTTCTTTTCGAGAGGAGTTGCCCATCCCCTCAATTGCGTATCACAGTGTGTGTGTATATATATGTGACGGCGTGGCTGTGTGTGTGTGTTTCAGGAGGGGAGGAGTGTGTGTGGAGCTCTAAGGGGCTGCTTTGCCCCCTCTCTGTGAGCTACACTCAGCAGGTCTGTCCCAGCAGAGAGAGATGCTGCGCATGGACTCATGATGCGTCGGATGCGGGACACCGCAACTCAGCCTCAGGACAGCAGTGCCCGATGTCAGCAAACACGCTGTCTTTTACAACAGGCGCCCATACTAAATAATGCAAGGTCTCATATATAGGCTTAACAGTTGCAGAACATGTAGTAATGGTAGTAGTAGTAGTAATAGTAATAGTAGTAGTAGTAGTAATAGTAGTAGTAATAATTGTAGCAGTAGTAGTAGTAGCTATGGACAGAGTGATCTTTAATTTTGTCAGGGTAATTCAAAAGGTGATCCAGTGTTCAGCTAGCCACTCCCGGACTGGGGCTCCTGTCCAGTAAAGCTGTCAAAAGCCCGTTATGACACTGACCAGAGAAATCCTGTTGTGCTGAAACAGCGCTCCGCCGCCGTCCCCGCGCACAGCCATCCATCGCTCACATTAAAAACACAAACTTCAGCTCAGCTCCTCGCTCAGTTCCGGCGCTTTTCACTTCTGTCGAGCAGCACTCGCCATGAGGGCGTCCTGAGAAAGCGTCCCCGCCGCCGGAGCCCCCGCACGCTGCCCTTTATCCAGCCCGTGCAGCAGTGTACCAGTGTGACCTGGCCAGCGGCAATGTGAGCCAGCCGAGGGAAGTCCACTCTCATGCAGCTCGCGCTGATGACGCCTCTCTCGCGTACGCAGTCGCTATCCAGAGAAAGTTCGCAGTTGTCCGCGGTGGCGGAGGGAAAAGTCCGCTGTAGGCTCGGCGGGCTACGGCCGCGGAGAAGCGCGTTTACCCGGCCGTGTTCCGTCTTTCTCTCTTGGCTGGAGTTTGAGCGAGACGCTAGAGGACCGCGGCTCTCCTCCCCTAGCAACCGGAAAAGGGAGATACACAAATGGATCACATGGGGAGGGAGGGGGGGAGAGAGAGAGAGAGAGAGAGAGAGAGTTGATAAAAGATAAAAACACAGACATTTTTCGACGTAAATAACTCTTTACTTATACTCACAACTCCAACCTACTGATTTAATGACTCCGCCATCACAGCCAATGGCTACTAATTATCGCATACTACACATTGTCGCGTTTTTAGTGATGCATTTAAACTTTACGCGCACATTTAACGTTGTTTTTTGATGTTTTGATGTTTTACATTATACCTCTGTAGAGTTTTCAGGGGATTTTGAGAGTTCGTTTTTTGTGGAATTCACTGTAAATTACAGCTTGCGCTGTTAAAGAAGGACTCCAACTCCCAGAATTCATAGCAAAAAAGAGCAACGCAGCAAGCAATGGACTCCCCAGGCACCTATTTTTGTTAAGTGAGGTATTGCTGTAATTAGGAAAACAGTGTGCTGTGGTATTTGTAGAACAGCCATTCTTTGCAGTGCAGATTAGAAGTTAGAAGTTGAAGTAATTCAACCTGAATTTGACGTTACAGGACAATATTTGCAAGTGTCCTGAAGTTAGGCTACAGAACCCTGCTGAAAAAGGACCATTAGAAACCATTAGTATTAAAACCTAATGGTTTTGTTTTCTAATGAGAATTTGGTTATTGGTTTCCAATAAAAACCACTAGTTTCCTGTAGAACACTTTTAGATGCCATTAGGAAACCATCAAATGCGTTTCGAATCAGCCTTTGGTCACCTGTTAAACTATTAGGATCCTTTACATTGTGATGTCGAACCATTAAAAAAGTCAAAGTCCATATCATTATCCCTCCTCCACCAAACTTTACAGTTGGCACAATGCAGTCAGGCAGGTAACGTTCTCCTGACATTGGGCAAACCCAGACTCATCCATCAGACTGCCAGATAGAGGAGCTTGATTTGTCACTCTGTTTCCACTGTTCCAGATTCCAATGGTGGCGTGCTTTACGCCACACCATCTGACGCTTGGCATCGTGCTTGGTGGTGTAAGGCATGCAGTTGCTCGGCCATAGAAATCCATGCAATGAAGCTCCCGGCGCACAGTTTTTGTGCTGATGTTAATGCCAGAGGAGGTTTGGAACTCTGCAGTTATGGAGTCAACAGAGTGTTGGTGACTTTTATGCATTATGTGCCTCAGCACTCAGTGACCCCGCTCTACAACTTTATGTGGTCTGACACTTCATGGCTGAGTTGCTGTGGTTCCTAAATGCATCCACTTTTCAGTAATCCCACTCACAGCTGATCATAGAATATCTAGGAGGGAAGAAATTTTGTTAACTGACTTGTTGCATGTGCACACACACACACACACACACACACACACACACACACATAGACAAACTTGATTCATTGTTTGCTTATTTTATTTTTTATAGCCATTTATTAATTTGGTTATTTGTTTATTTTCAATACACAACATAAATATGACACACAAGATGGTGTGAAACCTGGTCACATGGCAGGCACAGACATTCTTGACCTGTGTGTTTAGTGTATACATATATTATATAAGTGTAGTCTTCTGTCGGTCTCTTCAGTCTGTGTGAGTGTGTGAACAACACATCGTGTCCAAAGTATTTTAGATCAAAGTCTGAGCTTTAAACGCAGGGTCACCACTACACACCTGAGGATGATGATGAGGATGTGAGATATATGAACAGACAGTAGAAGGTCAAGTACAGATTGAATGTAAATATCTCCTGATGTGGCTTAGTGAAAGAAAATACAGTGATTTACCAGAAATTAATACTAATCACTGAGAAAAAAAAGACCCTCTTCACTGATTCAGAATCAGTTTTTCAAATGCAATACTCAAATTTAGCCACTGTGTAAATAAATAAATAAATGAATAAATAAACAATAAATAATGAAAACTGATATTAGAATTGTAATCATCTTCAAAGTAGGACAGACACTATACAGTTCCTTTGGTGCCATCATCTTTACTGAATGGTACTACTGAGGACATACTAGTAGATTACATAAGTAAACAGCCTGTAAGCCTGTGTAGTGTTTGTTGTGTGCTGAGTAGCTTAGTTAGAGCAGTTAGACAGAGTTAGAGAACAAACTAAGAGTTGTTAAAGCTCATACAGGCCTTTATTTCACCTTAAACAACCCCAGGAGAACAACCACCCTCTAGTGGTGACTTAACATAATGACTTCAGACTTGTACCCACGAGAGGAATAAGAAGTGAGCACTGACAACTGGAATTTTTTTATTTTACAGAAACTTTAGTCTTTATGAGAGTTTGAGCATATTCAGTTAGTAATATGAAATAATCACTACCTTTGATGCTACTAGTATAACTACCACAAATTACTCATTGACTTGTATGAATTATTTGATAACTGCTATGAATTACCCAGTAATACATATAAATTACTTAGTAACTACTATGAATCACTCAGTAACTACTACAAATTACTCAGCAACTATCATGAATTACTTAGTGACTACTATGAATTAAGTAATTCAGAGAAATTACTGAGAAAAAGCCCTATCTGAGTTGGATTAGTTTTACCAGAAGAAGCCAATTAGCCACACAATATGTGGTTATTGTTTGGAATGAACTAGTATTAATTACTCAATAACTACATTAACTTATACAATAACATCTATAGGTTACTTAGACACTACTACAAATTACTCTATAACTACCACAAAATACTCAGTGACCACTATGAATTATTTGATACCTACCATGAATTATTCAGTAACTGCTATGCATTACTCAGTAATATTTATAAATTACTCAGTAACTACTAACTATTAGAAACTCAATAACTACTATAAATTACTGAATAACTACTATAAGTTACTTAGAAAGTACTAAAAATGACACCATAACTACTATGAGATGATAAACATCTGTAGCTTCTGCCTTTGTCGTAGTTCCTCAAGTATATATTGCTGAACCTCTGCCAATTCCTGATCCTGCCCTGATTGTTTATTTATAAATAGCATTAATGAAATCCACTATGATCAACTACAATTAAATCAACTTTTAACCCCTAAAAGCCATTTATATTTACCCATTGTAGTCACGTTTATCTCAGAGGAAACATTGGAATATAACACTTACATGTTCCCTCCAGTGAATAGTGAGGACAGTTGAAAAGATCATCGGGGTCTATCTTCCCTCCATCACGGATATTTACACCACATGCTGCATCCGAAAAGCTGCCAGCAATGCAGACGACCCCACACACCCCTCACATGAACTGTTCTCTCTTCTGCCATCCGGAAGAAGGTACCACAATCACATCGGGCCCTCACAGCCAGACTTTGCAACAGTTTCTTTCCACAAGCCATCAGACTCCTCAACTCCCTTGGAATGAATTGACAGGCACCTACACACACACACACACACACACACACACACACACACACACACACACACATACATACATAACAGTATGAGACAATCTCACTCACTACTTCTTAAAATTTCAGATTATGTCGGTGACACTGTATTTAATATAATTATTGTATTTCGCAATGAATTACTTCACTTAATATAATTCATATCTGACTACTTGCATTTTAGCACATTTTAATTCTTTAACAATATCGACTGCTAGAATACTGTACCAACAAAATACTGGATTCCGTTGCTGTTATTCTGGTTGCTACCTCAGTGACTTCTACGCTCATAAATGCTAGGCTATCTGCTATTGCACAACAGTTAGTTCCGGCCACACAAGCTGCTTGGTTGAGAAGCGTTCTCACCGTGCTGTTATTTCGCCATAACATCACGGTTTTTCCACAAACACTGTATCACTCCGCTAAAACGAGTTTGACAGCTGTAGGAGACGCTCAAGCCATTTGAAAGTTTTTACTTCTTACTTTGCCACAAACAGAAAATGGATACTTTTAAGATCACATTTTATCGACAGCTGATTTGGTCAGACTCTGAAGGTGAGACTACACTAAATTCCCAAACTGTCAGTTGTTCTGTGTGGAGCTGGAGAATGAACTGCCGGCTGTGAGGCGCATGAGCGGAGCTCGTTACTGTGACGTAGCAACATGCTGCTTGTTAAGGAATTATAATTTGGCGGAAGGAATCGCTAACATTAAAACATTAAATGCCACGTTCACTGCCCAATTTAGTAATTTCTTACTTTATTTATTTAACTGTTGTATAAAAGCAATAGAACAGAGAGTTTGTGTATCGCAAATAACATCATGGCTGTGATGATGTATGACCAAATCACAGCCGTGATGTTATTTCACGATAACACACTCCCTCTCGTGTTCTATTGTTTAAATATGTCATAGTACTTTACATCCTGCTTTGCACAACCTGCATATTCTCAGTACCATGTACTACCTGTGTTTTGGTATTTATTCTTTGGTATTTGGTATGTAAGTCTTTTGTATTTATTGTACTGTATTGTCTGCACTGTGTATATTGTATTGTTTTGCACTTGAGTTCCTGTGTTGCACCATGGTCCTGGAGGAATGTTGTTTTGTTTCACTGTGTACTTGTATATAGTTGACATGACAATAAAGCCTCTTGAGCTTGAATTTGAACTTGAACTTGATATGACACTCTAATATAACTATTACATTTGCGTATTGCCTTCATAGTAGATAGTTATAGTAGTTACTGAATAGTCAGTAATAGATCAATAGCTGAATAACAAGCTTAGGCACCAAATATCCTGCTTATCATCGCAAAAATAATGCCAATAGCATGTAAAATTGTCAGATAATAAGCAGGAATGTACTTAAACAGTAATTCTGTGCACTTTGTGATGTAGTAATAAATAATATCTCAGAAAATACATTCTGAGGGGGCTCTTTCAAATCATTACATAAGTTAATTAGCAAGCTTCAATGTCTTAAACCAAAATGAAAGGTGCCCATAACCTCGTTCCTGTATTCACAGAGAAGTTTGTGGAATTAGAGCAGCACAAAGATAAGCCTGGGTCAAAATGACCTAAGCTGTGGATCAAAGGGTTAAAGATTATTCACCTCTTAACAGCCAGTAAAGAAAGCGAGAGATTATCTACTGATGATCTTATGAACACGCTGCCATGCTCTATGTTCAGCTGTAGACCATGCACTCTGCACATGCTGCTAGCCAGAAGGTAATGAGCGGTTAATACAGAGATAATGATGCATACCATGGAAGTGTGTTATCCTTTGGTTGTGGCTTCTTCCATACAGTTATATTTTAGTTTACTGTCTATTGTTCAGGAAAAATTCTAAAACTGTAAATAAATTACGCTGTAAAAAGAAGCCTGACTATGCATGTATTGTACATTTAATGAGGGAAACTGAATATTAAATTGGACAATACACAAACTTTGCTATATATATCAAACTTTGATATATATATATATATATATATATATATATCAAAGTTTGAACTTTAATAGGCCTACTATGGAAACTGCATTGAGAATAACAAACATGATTATAACTATTATTAGAATAACTATCATTAAACCCCTTAATATTCAAGGTTTATTTCATACAAAGGCTTATTATACAATGCAAACAAATGGAGCTATTCTTAAGTTTAGAAGTGTGTAATAAATCTTTGGGCCCACCGGCTGGCCCATGGATTGTTAAGGGGTTAAAATAGACAGAACAAAATTAAAGATTAAATTTAAGTTTGAGCATGAGTAAACTAACCTGTGCTTAGCATGAATGAATGCTTCATGACTTCCTACCACCATATCATCATAAGCACATAGACTCAGTCCGGCTTCTGAAGAGAGACCACTGAATTGGCAAGGCAGAAAAAAAACAGTAGGCAGTGGGTTACTGATGACATCACACCAGTCACGCTCTCATACCACCTGAACTGAACCAATAAAGCACCAACAGACCACCAATCAGTTTTGGTCTATTTGAATGTTCAGGATTTAGATGCGTACATCTGCATGCAGAAATGTGGGCTCCACTGGTCAATGTTTTGTTCATTTTATAGGTGAAAATAAGTGAACACATCCTCTACAGAGAAGACACTTCTGCACATTTTACTGCACTATTATTATTTACTAACCAAATTAAACATAAAATAAATAATAAAAAAATAATAATGTCATTATCTATTTACATTAATTTTTGTTTGTTACCTGCCTTGAGATGTAACCTCCACTTTTAAAATGTGTTCTGGACTTCAATTATAATATTTTATTAACCTAATTTCGAAAGTTATACAGCTTTCTCTGTCATTTCAGAATCTTCGGTGGCTCAATTCCCTCATTCTGGACACAGCTTGTATTTTCATTAACAGCTCTCTAGTATCATACTAATCATATGAAACCTGCAACATATTAGAATTCCAAACAGTTACTAACTTTTGCTAGTAAATTCACAAACAAGTAACTGAATAATGAATTTGTCTCACTCATCTCTAAATACTGATAGAAACTAAGAAATAGCCCAACACATAGAACTCCAAAGAGCTGTGGACAGTTCTACATTTCCATTCCTCACTCTCGACTACATAACTACCATATTAGTTTCTACTGAATAATAATCATACAGGTTAACCATTAAATCATTTGTGAAGAGTAATCTTTGATGATTGTCACAACTTGATGTCAATACAAACATTTTTATGATAATCCAATGATCTAGGCCATCAGCTCTGTATCGAATGACTGCAGCGTGATAACATGACCAGCTTCACTTACAAAGCGTAACTCACATGGTACTATGCACTGACATACTACACTAAAAGTTTTGCTTTTGAGCCTTGGAAAAAGGAAACAAACAATCCTTGACAGAAATAATACTGTAACCCTGCATGGTCATTTAACTTCCATCTGTCTATAAATATATATCAAAAGTCTGTCATTAACATTATACTGCAAACCCAGCACCACAGTGAGGAAGGGTCTCCACTGCCAAGTAGTTGCAAAAGGTAAAAGGGCTTTGTTTCTGAAATCTGCTTAACTTCTTTAGACAGAAGAAATTAAAGGATTACAGCACGTTAGCCTTTATTTCTGCAGTCATGTGTATATGTTTCATGTGAGTTTGGCACGTAAAGGGTATAAGTGCAATCTTGAGATCTCTGTCTTTTATTAGTAGTTTTAAAGAGTATAATGACGGACTAGGCTCAGCCAGGAATTGCCAAACAACACCACAGGTCCACATCACTCTGCACCACTGTTTAAACCTGCAGGGGTTGACTGAGTTGATTAATTCCTTTTATGTATATCTGCTGTTGCTCTTCAGTAAGCCTGTGCTGTCCTTATCTCTACAGGCCTACATATAAAACACTCACGCACAAGCATTAACAGTTTCCAGGCAGGGCCTCACTGCTTGTCCCTGCACTACAGCAATTCTACCATCATCATTGTGTTTATGTTTATTACTTATTATAATTTCACAAGTGAGCTTGCCATTTTTATACCATAAGAAAGCAAATAAAGTTTTTGAGTTTTAATCTTTTGAATCAGTATTCCAAGTCTTTGGGTAAAAACTACAAGTATACCTCTTGGATATAGTCCAGTAGTTTACTTCAAAAACCTACACAAATATCACAATCAATTATTTACTCATTCATGTTTTAAGGGCCACCAAGTCCAAACAGGCCAAAGACCTTTTAATCTTCTATCAACATGGGAAAGGTCACAAAAATACAAAATACAAAAATACAAAAATAAAACGAGACAAGGTTGTTGAGATTTAAATATGACAATGGCTCTTAAATAGTTTAACCTGAATATATTTATCTGTACTATTAAGGCAATAATTTAAAGAATTCTCCAGTGTTTTTCATCCTAACCTTCCAATCATCCTAGGCAACTGCACCTGTATCATAAAATCAGAGACAGCAATTAACTTTTCTTTCCTTGTACTTTAAAAGAAACTGAAAACTGATCGACTCGAAACTCATTTTAGAATGTGTGTAAGGAGGAACGTGAATACATGGTTCACATAAACAATTCTGATGGATTTTGGCAACTGCCCAAATTCTGACATCTATTATACTTCTATCACACGTGTGTGTGTTTTAAGTAGGTAGGTAGGTTGGTATGTAGGCAGGTGAGTAGGTTGATAGATAGGTAGGTTGGTAGGTAGGTAGGTTGGTATGTAGGCAGATGAGTAGGTTGGTAGATAGGTAGGTTGGTAGGTAGGTAGATTGGTAGGTAGGTAGGTGGGTAGGCAGGTAGAGAGGTTGATATGTAGGCAGGTAGGTAGACAGGCGGGTATGTAGGTAGGCAGGTAGATAGGTTGATAATGTAGGCAGGTAGGTAGGTTGGTTGTTAGGTCGGTACGTTCATATGTAGCTAGGTTGGCAGGTAGGTAGATAGGTAGTGAGATTTGGAGGTAGACAATTTAACAGGTAGGCAAGTAGGTAGATAGATTGGTGGTTAGGTAGGTTTGTAGGTAGGTAGTCAGGTAGGTAGGTTATAGGCAGATAGGTGGGTGGTTTTGTAGGCAGGTAAGTAGGTAGAAGGTTGATACGTTGATAGGTAGGTAGGTACGTTGGTAGGTAGGTATATACATTGGTAGGTAGGTGGGTGGTTAGGTTGGTATGTAGGTAGGTAGGATGTGCCAAAGCTAACAATAAACTATTTGGAAGGCTTATAAGAAGAAAGCCTCTGCTATCATCAAATATAAATGTAACAACCTGGAGTTTGTTAAAATCACTGAAGCATTAATCAGAACCAAGTTCTGTGGCCAGATGAGGCAAAAAGCAAACAGTAAAGGTGGGCTTGGTGTGACAAGAATCAAGATCATTCAGGATAGAACCTCATCTCTGTTGTGAAGTATCATGGGGGATCTGTGAGGTTTTAAATCAAAATCAGGCTCTCCGTTAGGGGGCTAAGACTAAGTTGTAGTTGCATCTTTCAACAGGATAATGATCTAAAGCAGACCTTTAAATCCACAATAGGTAGGCATATTCATATGGTAACAAGGGTCAAAAGAAGAATCAACAAAAGCCATGATTCTGCTCTGAGAACAGCTCTTTAATGAACAACAGGCAGAAATGAGCACATGCATAAGGCTGTACTCACAGGGGAGGTCATCACCAGCCATAGGCTTCTCCCTGATGGTGATGCCCCGACACACAAAACACCCCTAAATAACCCGCTCACTGACACAGAATAACACACAACACATCACAGACCTTTTAATTAACAGACAACAACATAAACAACATAAACAGCACCTTCTTTAACGGAGGTGTGCACCTCCCATGAGTCACTTCCCTGCATGCCAGCTCCTGGTTAGCTGCACACCCCGTGGCCATCGCCACATTTCCAGTGTAAAAGTAATCAAGCTGATAAATAACAAGCACATTTTCACAGCCTGTTTTGCTTATCTTTACTATGGATGCCAATAAAGCTGGAGGACACTATAGTGATTATAAATTTATTTGCTGTATAATCAGTATATCAGTGGTGACCTACCTAGCTCCTGGAAATCTACTGCCTTGGAGAGTTCAGTTTCAAGCTTAATCCAATGGATCTTCTCAGATGCTCATTAGATAGATATTCTTAACTCTCTTGGGCTCATATTCACAAACCTTCTCCAAGTAGCCTTTTGATCTAGGATCAGATTCCTCTCTTATTTACTATGACTTCACTCACAGGAACAGATCCTAGATCAGCACTCCTATTATGAGAAGCTTTGTGAACAGGGGGCCTGATCTACTTAGTCAAGGTCTTAATGAGCTCTAATGAGCATGTTAGATGTGTGATAGATGAGAATTGAAACTCTGCACAACACTAACTCACCAGGAGTAGGGCTGGGCTCCACTGCTAGGCCTATATATTTTTACAATATTTAACAATGATACTTGTTATCATTATGATTGTACACTATAATGTTGATAAAATCAGCTGACTTGATAAAGCCAGCAGTGCCATCCTGAATGACTATGAAAAAATGTTAGTGTTTACAGCTTTGCAAGAAATGAGTGATGATTTGCAGAATACAAGGTGTATTGTGGTTAGCTTGGACTTAACTGTATACTTCAAGTACTTCAACTGTTCAAATGTGATTTGTGTCATCCAAGTCCAGGGAGTACTATGATAAAGGTTGCATGCTGGATGCACTAGCTAGTCAGGCATCTGCAGGATTACTTTGCAGTCTGAGCCACTAGTATTCACTAGTAAGCAAACTGGCAAACTCAAAATGCAGCATGCAGTTTGGAAAAGATACAGTAATAAGTTTTATATGCAGGTATCAATCACTATAACTGAATACTATAACAAAAAAAAATGAAAAAATGAGCTATTAGACTTTGGGAATGACCAAATTCTTGCAAAGTGACAATCACAAAAGACTAATCTAAATAAGATTAGTCTAAATCCTATACAATTTAAATGATATCTTATCTGGACCATTCTACCAAATTAGTTCAAACTGCAGTCCCAGAGTAAATTGATTCTGTATTCAGACCTTAAACATTTACAATGATTATGTTATCATCTGTTGGAATCCAAGGTATTAATTGAGATAGTAATAAGCTAAATATACACAAAAATCATCATCCGTAGAGTACTTTCAATTGAGAGATGTCTGTCCCAAACCCTACCCATCAAATTCAATTTTTTTTGTTATAACCGAAACACAAAGAGTTTTAGTCCATAGGTGGAGGCTTATTTTAACCACACCCCTACATTTTAGAAAAGGAAGTGAGGCTGCATCCCTGTCCCTCATGGCCACAGCAATTAGATCTCATTGTTTTGAGGTAAATGTGTCCCGAAGTCTGAAAATAAGTGTGTAACATTAAGGAGAATTGTTTTGTGTTTTAATGATGCGGAAATGGTGGACAGTTTTGGCCAGTTCAGTGCTTTGAATTCTGCTCAAAATTAGCTAAAAATGTCACTACTGAAACAAAACTACCAGAGGCATTATGATTGTTTTGTCATCGATAAAATTGAATGCTCAATCATTTCTTTTAAAAAAAATAAACATTTTATTAGGATATAGGGTCACGTAAAAAGCAAAAGGATTGTAGTCTAAGGTCCAAGTCAGTTAAAAGTCTGAAATGTTTTTTAACCCTGTCCAATTGTGAACCAGTTGTGTAGAATATCTGTGAATGACAGTGCTGTCTGCAGTCTTGGCCATGTCATGTGACTTCATTATTAATTATCATTATTATTGATAAACACCTCATGCCCTTTAGATGTGCTGCTACATATTCCTTAATAAAAGCTAATACAAACACCTGTGGTTTTATTTGTTCATAGAACCTGTCAGTGAAACAGTCTTTTGTTAACATTCTCTTAGAAGAGTACCTTGGTCCTTCTCTCCTGTTTATCGACAGCACTGCAAGCACCGACCAAAGAGCATACCCAATAGGCCACCTTTGCCTGCATTTGATAGCGCTACAAATTAAGCCCTGGATGGATATATGACAGTTTTCAAGGTTGTTGGAGAGCATTTTTCACAGAATTCAGATTCTTCAAACATCCAACAGGACATTCTGCAGAACATAGCAGGGGTCAAGAAATAATTAAATAATGCATCTTACACACATCATTCTGTTACTTCTCTCTCTTTGAAATTCATACATGTTGATCCAAATATCCACCTGAACTTCTTTTTAAAAGTTTATATCTAAGAAAAAACACCTCATCGAACAGGCCCAACAGCTGCATCCATCACCACCGCAAATGGGCACAGTGTTCATATAAAACTCTGTAGTGGCAATAAAATGAAAAGGCTAAGTGTACCTGCAGCAGAACCAGATAAAACCTGCCTCTGAGTATGTTCGGCGAGGGGCTTGCTTCTGTTGCAGCTATCAGCCTTTCGTGTGATTAACAAACTGAGATGTCACATTCATGGGGAGGCTGATACACAGTGATGCTTGCTAGCTGATCTTGTGTTTTTTTGTAAAGCCTTTTGGATGTTTGGAAAAAATATCAGTAAGTGCATTGTTCCTCACTCATTCATCCATCCACTCTCTCTTTCATCCATCTCCCACATCCATTATGTCTATCTCACAGACATCATCCACTGCAGTAAAGCACTTGATCAGCATTATGACGACTTGTTCTTCTATGGGGCAGCAAGTTCAACTGATAGCATTGCAGATAATCACATCACTAGCTGTGAGCCACACATGTACAAATGTGACTACGCAACATCACACATATGGAAAGTAAGGGTCTTTAACCAAGTTTACAGAAATCTGGCTGACACAAAGTGTGGCGTTTTCATTTTGATTCTTAACGGTCATCTACTGTGCAGAACTCACTGTTTTGGTGATTTGTGCTGTCTTCATCGATATCTGACGCAATGGAGGAAAACCATTCAGTTCATAAACAGTTAATGTAGCGGTTAATGGACACACCACTGTCTCTTTGTCTCTCTGTCTCTCACACACATTCATGCACGTACAGATACACAAAATCAAAAGATTCACAAAGGCCAGCGGCTGAGAACAGGCGTGGATTGGCCCAGAGGTTGTTGAGCGCGGGCGCTGATTGGTCGAGAAGCGCTCGAATGATCAGTGTGGAACTCAGGAGAGTGCGCGCGCCCGTTAGAGTCCATGACTCCCAATATGAATGAGCGCGAGCAGCGACAACGGGGGCAGCGCACTCATCAGAGAGAGCAGCGAGGACACGCACTCATCAGAGAGGCTTGAGTGCAGGTACTCAAGTGAATCAGCACAGCGAGGAGAAAAGTCATCACTGCACGGGTGAGTTTATCTCTTCATGCACAAACACTGAGACTCATTTTCATATTAAGAACCGTTAATGCAGTCCTTTACTGTCATTATATCTGCAGCTGAAGTTACTATTCTAATTCAGATGTCAGGTATTACTGTTTTATTACGTAATTAGAAGTACTGCAAATGAGTCTAAAGTCTGTCAAAACAGGCGCATTGGTTTTTATGAAAAGAAACAGCAGCGTTCAGGTGGGAGCAGCTTGAGATATTGAAGTCATGAACACAAAAGAACATCACTGTTGCAGCTTTGCACCAGCTTTATATGCATTCTTGTGTGAATTGCATAGATTTGTGAGCTAGCATGTTGAACTTTATTGTCTATTTTATTGAAAAAAGATCGAATATTTTGAAAAAAGAAGAAGACAAGATCATATTCTGAATACTGGAGCTTGAATTTGTTTGAATGTCAAACAAAAAAAAACCACTTAATTAAATAAATAAAACAATTTAAAAAGCTACATAGGACTTGCTTATTTCTAACAAAGCAATTCAATCAGCAAATAGATGCCTCTTTGTTCTGCTGCAGGAGTCGAGTTTCTCCATCTTCCTGTTAGTTTTTATTATTAATAAGAGCTCTGTGAGAGAATGTATTGTCTCGCCATAAATCAATTCAGATTTGCCGTGTCTTAATTGGGAATATGCCAAACATTCTTTACATGCACGTCTGGTCGGCTATTAACTTGAAGTGTGAACTTTAAAAAAAAGAAAAGAAAGTGCAGGCTGACCCCCACAGCAGATGAACTCTGTTGTTGATGTCTGTGCTGTAGGACAGAGGCCTCTGAGTGCTGCTGGACTAATGGGTGGGGGCACTCATCAGACTGCGGAGACTTCGGTAGAAGGGCGCGGAGCAGGCGGGGTCTACACCTGGGAGGAGGTGCAGAAGCACAAGCAGCGGGGTGACCAGTGGGTGGTGATCGAACGGAAGGTGTACAATGTCAGCAGCTGGATTAAAAGACATCCAGGAGGCCGCAGAGTTATCGGTCATTACGCTGGAGAGGATGCTTCGGTAATACACCCATCAGACTACAGGAGAACAGCGTTCTGTTCACACATTCACACTAGATTAAATATAAATATATGTATTCTCTTTTTCTGCACTATAAATATTCCACCATAAGCACTCGAATAAAACCTTTTGAGTGAACTTTCCACACAGTGGTTGAATTTACAGATGACTACATCAGTTCCAGACTAATGAAATATGGGACGTCAGTTTAAATTAGGTCATTTATTTATGTACTTACACATTTGATTATTGATGTGAAGCCAATGTATACATTTAAGCAAGTACATATAAAGCAGCCTCTTTTCAGTGCACAGGTCTAACAAAAAACCCAAATTTAATCAAAATGTGGGATTTCCACAGGACGCATTTATGGCCTTTCATCCCGATCAGAAGTTCGTACGCAAGTTTCTGAAGCCACTGTTGGTTGGAGAGTTGGCTCCTTCTGAACCCAGTCAGGACCACAAGAAAAATGTAAGTCTGGACAACCATGCCCCGCGTTCAGCACATTCCACACAAGCATTTACAAAAGCAACAATACAGATGCTAAATGCTAGACATCAGAAGGTGTTTTAAGATGTTTTATTTTAACAGTAATTACCTGGGATGCTATCTGCCTGAGGTATTACCACCACATTTCAAATATGAAGTATTCAGGATGTTCATTTTATTATGATCAAATTCTCAATGTTTTACAGCTTTCTCAGTCTTTACACATCTCCAGCTCTATTCATCATTCAGGACATACCTAACATTTCCTACAAATTTGTAGAAATCTATGAAGTTGTAGAGTAGTGGCATCATAATAGAGCCATTTTGTACAAGTACCTGTAACAAAATGTTTTATTTTACTGAAAACAGTGATTCCAAACTTCTGAATTGTGATTCCAAACTTCTTAACTTTTGAAATACACAAACTTGATACAAAAACATGATCAGAATGTATCCAAGTTATAAGCAGAAATACTAGTCACACAAGCTTTAAGAACTGACAGTTAGCTGACTAGCAGGCTCTGGAGGAACCGTAACACCCCATAGACTGAACACCTCTCTGGACCACATTGACCAATGATAAGCATATTTCCTGCATCGGTCAGATAGTCTCCTGGGCTGTAAGTTCATCAGTTGTACAGACCAGAAGTCACAGCCTTAGCTGCAGATGGTCTGGGTGGAGGTGCCATGCTTGACCCCTTAGCTGTGACACGCGGTGGGGTCTGCCCCTCAGTGGGAAGCATGGCCTGCCTGGCATTCTAACGTTGAGCTTGACGCGGTTTCAGTGGTGAATTCCATAGAGGAAAATGGGGCAACGTGTAAAACAGCTGATCCAGCTAGTTGTATGCCCAGGCTCAGCAGGCCAGATGGATTCGATAACAGGAACCACATGGAGGTGGGTCAACTCTGTACTGCAAATCAAATATGCCGCAGCCGTGACATATCTGTCCTGAAATGCACCTCCTGCTGGTTTTGTCGCCAGAGTAAATTTCACTCTCCCACAGTGAGCCCCTCTCCTGGGCAGTATGCGAGACAGAGAAAGCCTGCCAACGTTACATTTCCCCTTGTTTTACTGACTGATGTAATACATGATAACACTGTAGAATTGGCAGACTTTGTTTGTAAACAAAGTAAAAAGCACATATTCCAGGTAGTTTGCATGTTCAAGGTAATTAATCTTCATGCAATACTGGTGCCAAACTTTCCTCCAACTTTTCAAAGAGGCTTCAAATAGACCTGATGGGCACATCAGTAACAAGATGTTCTCTGTGCGCTGATGTGTAACTGTCACCGTGGTGTGACTGTGTTTTACTGAATCCAGACATAAACTGTGCAGTCACGGCTGGAACTGACAAAGCTACTGCAGACCCAGAGGAATGACCACGGAAACTGCTGCAGTTGTGCCCAGTAGGCATAGGAGAGTGAGGAATGTCAGGCGACCACCCAGTCTGACACAGGAAAGAACACCAAGAATGTTTTGCATCAAGTCAGTGAAGCTATTGTGGGGCATGGTTTCAGAAAATCTAGGTGATCTGAGCCGATGCAAGCGAGTTCTTCTTCCGATTCATGGTCAGCCCCAAGATTGAGACATGCTTCAGGAGGGCCACAGAGAGAATCTACACACTTTGTTTTTAGTAGCCCAGATGCAGCCTGCATAAATGTAGTGAATACCATCAGAAGTAGCTTTAGACCAAAAACTAAAACTTTGTGCTGATCAGCTTGACTTTGGATGTCAAACTGTCTGTTGTTGATGGTGATGAGAATGTGACAATAAATGTCCTCTTTAAGTGAAACACCTGGTTAGAACCACTGCCGTAGTGCTGGGCATGTACAGCCGCAGGCACTTTAGGAACAATTTGAGCTCATGAACATCCAGTATGGGGAGATTTTTCTTGGAAACCAAACATAAATTGAGCAAAACATTTCAAGCTTATCTACCTCTTCAAAAAAAGAAGGAAATTTTCTTTTCTGACTATATTCTGGTCTATATGTGTTGGGACCAGTAGAGAAACTTTACTCTGTAGTCCATCCAAACTGTTGCCATAACCCACAGTGCATAGTTCCAGTGCATAGCTCTGTGAAATGGTGTCCAACTTTGCTTCTGGTAATAGTGTGAGGATGTTGGGGAATAGAAGGAGAGATTCTACTCTCAACCCAAAACTGTTTCTCCACTTTATGTGAAGCCTGTCTGAGTTCCCGAGCAAGAATCATGATGGAAGCTATTAGCTGGCAGTGTAGGGGCTCTAAATTTCACGAGTAGTGTGAAAATGTGCTGGTGGCAGCACTTAGATGCTTGTACTCGTTGCTCCACTGCCTCTATATCTGTGGCACTGAACAGTTTTGGCAACAAAAGTAGGTGTTCTTGCCTATGTAGGGGAGCTAGGAGAGTTTGGTTGTAGTATAGTGAGGCTCAGTATGTGTTGAAGCTACTGCTAAATCCAAGAAGTAGTGATAGTTTTCAAGCTGGGATGAAGGAACTAGGGGAGACGGGCTATAGATCTGCAAAGCTCTTTAGATGTAATCTAAAAAAAAACAGCACCCCAGGATTTGGTTGGTATAGTGTAGTGAGTAACACCACTGCCTCCCACGTTGCAGACTGGTACGCTCCCCCGACTGGGCAAGGACCCTACATTATAGCAGTAAGAGTCCTTGGGCAAGACTCCTAACAATACGTTCGCCTACCTGTGGAAAAAATGATCGAATTGTAAGTCACTCTGGATAAGAGTGTTTGCCAAATGCTGTAAATGTAATTGGTAGTACATGAGCAAGGCTGCTAGTCTGGGAAAACTGGTGGTAATGGGCTGAGTTAGTGATATTGTGTTGCCAGTTTGTTCAAGAGCAATTTGGTTTATGTCACTGCCAGAAGAGGAAAAAGAATGCTTTACTTGAAAGCACAGTGTTTGTGTTCCTAACTGTCACATCATGCCAGTGCATGACTTCGTTTGTGTAAGGTCTCAACCTGTACACACATTCACAAGGTGCATCCACTGTCATTCACACTGCCTCTGGTGGTCAGCATGAAATGGAACTCCACTAGATAATTGGAAAAAAATTACATGGTACCACAGTGCTAGCGTAAGTGTACACCTCTAAGACATAACACTTTTTGAATTTATTATTGTATGAAACTGATCTTTAACTGTTGTCATTGGGTATTTTTGCCCATGGAAGCTAGGCAGTTTTACTAATATGGTCACATAGGGGTGGGGGTCATTTTTCCAAGGTTTAATAAGTTGAACAGAAACTTGATAATAGTGCCTTATTTTAAAAATACCATCAAAAACCTATTCAACATTTTACATACTGCACTGCACCAATACAGTTAAACAGGACTTATTAGGCTCTTGTTGTAATGAGAGTCGTTCCTTGAAGTACTAAAAACCATATTGTGAAGCATTATGCTGTAATTTATCACAATAATGATATAATAATGATCATATTATCATCAAAGGTTTGAGAAGTATAAATAAGATGAATATTTTTTTGGCAGATTTTGTCCATTTGTCTATAGAGTGGGTGTAAGAACATCATGTTGCATCAGTGGACTTTGTGGGAACACGTGTAGTAAAATTTCACACAAACCGCTACAGTTTTGCCGTAATAGAAGAAATAAGAAATGCACTGATTATAGTACCGACCCTTTCTTTGGCCCCCTTTGGAAGCCTTCTCTGCATTCAATAGGCAGAAAATGCCAACTTCCCCTGGGAATACTTAAGCAGGAAAGAAGTATTTTGAGCTTGTGTTCTAAGTTCAGGGGAACACAGCAGAGGAATTAATCTCTGAGAAATGTCTGTTGCTATAGCTGCTGTATCCAGTCTACTGTCCAGCGTAAAGATAATAAAGACGCTGACTCAGTCGTATAATAGGTTTTCTCTCAGCTCTGTGTAAGCTACTAGTAACTAAAGTTACTGTAGGCCATCTAAGCCCTTGCTCTTTTTTATTTGCACAATAACATGGTTGTATCTGCTGCCACCTGTTGCATTTTTAGTGGTGCTACATTTTGGCCCAGTTTCTTTGACCTGGGTCTCCTTTTTCCAGACGTTTTTTTTCACAGGCATTCCAATGCAAATTAAAATGAGCCTCCATTCCTTTTCTATCCCTGCAACTTTTTTTCTTGCCTTCTTCTCTTTCATCTCTCTCTCTCTCTCTCTCTCTCTCTCTCTCTCTCTCTCCCTCTCTCAGGCTGCCCTAGTGAAGGATTTCCGGGTCTTGCGGGACCAGTTTGAAGCAGAGGGTTTGTTCCGCACTAATCCCCTGTTCTTCTGCCTACACATCGGGCACATTCTACTCATGGAGGCATTGTCTTTGGCACTGCTGTGGTACTGGGGCAATGGCTGGCTTAACACAATTCTATGTATTTTCATACTGGCCACTGCACAGGTAGGAGGCATGTGTTATTCACAGTGTTATTCTGCAATACATCATTATGAAAGCATGAAAACAATATGCAGACATCTCTCCCTATTTTCTAAAGAAATAGTAAAACGGAATGAGTTTCCTTTCCTTTCTCATACAGTCTCAGGCTGGCTGGCTGCAGCATGACTTTGGCCACCTGTCAGTCTTCAAAAGGTCCGGCTGGGATCATCTATTGCACAAATTCGTGATCGGACACCTGAAGGTATCAGCCTACCGTATCAATATTGTTTAAACCCCTAAATATCATGACCCAAAGGCTGGTCCAGTATTACATTGTATAGCTTTAGAATAGCTCACTTTGCAAGGTTTATCAATGAAGCTACTGAATAATTAGCTATAAGAGGTAAAAAGGAAATTTAAACCTATAAACATAAAGATATCTGACTGTTGCATAAGACATTTAAAAAGGTAAGACTTCACCCTACAGAGTACCTGGTGTACCAATCCTGTTTGTGTGTGCATGTGTGTGTGTGTGTGTGTGTGTGTTTGTGTGTGTTGTTTTTAGGGGGCCTCTGCACACTGGTGGAACCATCGTCACTTTCAGCACCATGCTAAGCCCAATGTATTCCAAAAGGACCCTGACATCAACATGCTGAAAATCCTTGTACTGGGGAATGTACAGCCTGTGGAGGTAAACGCGCATAAATATTTTTAAAAATTGAATCGGTAGACTCCAGAACTGTTATGCAAAACGCTATCTGTGCTCTGAAGTACACACGAGCTACTTGATTTAAATGTGTAGTAGTGCTTGCATTTAGTGTGACGAACATGAGATTCTTTTTTTGCATTTTCTGACACAATTGGAACTTTTCGAAACTTTTACGCTGCTTAGATTTAGTGTCATTCTGAATTATATTTTACTCCCTCCTTCTGTTTCAGTATGGGATTAAAAAGTTGAAACACCTGCCGTACAACCATCAGCACCAGTACTTCTTCCTGAGTGAGTTACTCATTGCTGTTGCCATTTATAGACCCATACAAATCTATGTATAGGTTAAAATGATCTATATAATCTGCAGTACTGTGCAAAAGTCTGAGACCACCTTTCATTTCCTTCATTTCCTGTCAGTGGTTAAGTACAAATTTTTGTTATGATGTTCTGAGGAGATTAGATATAAGATAATCCACTTTCCTAAGGAAGAGGAAACTTAAAGGAAAATAGGAGTTTCCAAAACTGGGGTTCAAAAAATTAGTAAAAGAAAAAAAACTCCTAAGAACTGTACAACCAAAACTGTCACCATTAGATAAACAGCACTTAAAGCTTTCATCTCTGAGAGAGAGGAGAAAATCAAGCTCCACTTTTGCTTTAGAGCTGAAAAAATCTACAGGTGTTTCTGTCCATCCTTCTACTGTGAGAAGACGACTCGGCACTATGAGTCTGAAAGGATGTGCAGCTGTCAAGAAGCCCTTACTGAGAAAAGAAAACAGACAAAGAAGAAAATATTCGCAAATGAAGCAAAGAAGCTGCTGGTGCTCTCAGAACAATACACAGACCTCAACGTCTTTGAATATGTTTGGGATTATTTGGATCATGAGAAACAGAAAATAAAACCAACTTCTAAGACTGAACTAGAGGTTTGGAAAAATGTCTCTGCAGGTTTCTTTTCAAAAGTCTCACAAAAAGAATGGGGCTGTAATAAAGGGTGAAAACAAATACAGAAAAAATATATATAAAAAGTAATTTTGTACTTGTAGCTATTTTGATTGGAAATCAAATAAATAAAGAGTGATATGTGATATTCACAAAGTATTGTATATGTTTAGAAACTGAACCTTTATTCTCTCTCTCTCTCTCTCTCCTCTCTCTCTCTCTCTCTCTCAGTTGGTCCTCCTCTGCTTATCCCAGTGTACTTTAACATTCACATTTTGCAGACAATGATTCAGCAACGGGATTGGGTGGTGAGTTGCCATTAGAACTTCTTTTGCCATCAGTGACGATGCCATGACTGTGTGGAACATTAGCCTGTAGAGCTGCTTTTTAGTATTGTTTTTTTTTCTCTCTTTCCTTTTGAGGACTTTGCGTGGTATCTGTCCTACTATATACGCTACTTGTCATGTTATGTCCCCTTTTATGGAGTCTTCGGATCATTTGCGCTTCTCATGTGTGTGAGGTAAGACTTTTACAGCCATGTATTTACACTTCGTTACAAACAACATATCAGTGCTCATGATATATGTGGTAGAAAATTCAACATTTTGAAGTGCTTTGTGTTGCTGGTGTGATTTGCAGATTCATAGAGAGTCACTGGTTTGTGTGGGTGACCCAGATGAACCACCTCTCCATGGATATCGACTATGACAAACACGATGACTGGCTCAGCATGCAGGTACCTTTTTGAGGCAGCTCAAATATTTGTGCCGCAATGCCTGTGTCTCTGACCAAGAGTTTGATCTGCAAGGTAGCAGGATGGCAGAATGCTTTTATCAGTGAATCAGGGTCCCACTACATCATGAAATGGAACAAATGGATACACATAGGCATTAAATAGCATGTTTGAAAACTAATACTCAAGCACTTCTGAGCAGCTTATTTAAGCACTCACAAGATAACAAAGGATGTTGCACGAAGTGAATGACAATGTGCTGAGATACAGTATTCACTAGTCATGCTAGCTGGAATGTTATAGTGTGTCTAGAAATACAAATAAAGCAAAAGAGAACAAATAAGATGCTAAAACTTTACTTTGAAGAAACATGCCAATGTACATTCTAAGAAATTGAAATGCATGCAGCCAAGTCACATCTACAGCCACAATTCCGACTACAACAGACTTCAAAATGCAAACACACTGTGTTGAGCTACTAGCGAGCAATGTGGGGAGGAAGAAGGGGAGTAAGAACACCCCACTGTGAAAACAATTCACACTTCTCCACACAGATGGTCAGAGCACAACTGCAGCTTCACAACTGCTGCTTTAATTCATAGAATTTAAACACAATAAAAACACTCTTATAAGTGTTGACTTGTTTGCTTACTTACTCAGATGGAATCCAATGTTTCCAGTCTTGTATATTTTACACATTTTCATTAAAATATATTCCTTCAGCATTATTGTTGAAAGAAATGCAAAGTTTAGCTGAGACCCCATTTACACCTGGTCACTTCATGTGATTAGTATCTGGATTGTATCCTGATCAGATTTTAGCCACATGCATTTACACTTCGTAGTCAAATGCATCTCTGGTCAGTCGGACTGAAATCCGAGTGCTGTGTGGGAATCCGTTCTTTACCAATTGTTTATCCTTTCAGCCTCTTTGTCTGTAGTTTGTTTTGCACAGTAGTGCCTGTCCATACTGGCATCAAGTGTTTTGTTTTGTCCGGGCCACAACTATGTGTGTCCTCCGTGATAATCTGCCTCGCAGACACAGATCATGTGACCAGTGACATACCGCATGGTGAGGAGTTTCAGTTGTACTGGGAGGGTTTTTGGATGTGCTGGGAGGAGATTTGGTAGTACTGGGAGGGGTTTAGGTTGTCGGATGTGTCTTGGAGAGATGGATCCGTTTACACTGCTATAATATGACGCTCAAATGCTGAAGTAGTTTGAGCGATCAGATTTGTATCTATTTTAAACGAGTCTTGGGTGCATAAAGGCTGTTTAAAGGTTATTCAGTCCTTATGTATGTGTTATGATGTCCTTGAGTAGGTAGCCTTCAGTGTTATCAAGAATTTGTCTTATTCTTCCAGATGGTCCTTCTATCATTGAAAGTGCTTCCTCGTACCAAACATTTAACTTTTAAGTGTGTGTAGAAGTGAGATGAAGCACAGCATGTCTAAATCAGTATCTAATGACTGCATTTATTATTTTGTATTTAGCTGAAAGCCACCTGTAACATTGAGCAGTCATTCTTCAATGACTGGTTTAGCGGCCACCTCAACTTCCAGATTGAGCACCAGTGAGTATGACTCTTCTGTGTGTTGGGTGTTTGTGTGTGCATATGACAGCATCCATGAGTGTGTGCAGAAATATGTGCCTCTGCGTGTGCGTGTGTGGGTTTGTATAGACTGTAGGCTCTTATACGGTCCTTTTCCCCCACCAGCCTCTTTCCTCTGATGCCTCGCCATAACTACATCCGTGCGGCTCCTCGGGTGAAAGAGCTGTGCGAGAAGTATGGAGTTCACTATGAAGTCAAAGGCCTGTGGGAGGCCTGGTGTGACATCATCAGGTAATACACTCATCTTCATGTGCTGCTCAAAGCAATTAATACTGATGATAATAATAATAATAATAATAATAATAGCAGCTTGATTTATATAGCATTATATAGCATGCTTTAGGTATTTCATCCTCTACAGTGCAGTTTGTATATGTAAAAATGCAGCTTAAAATGCTTCATAATAAATTCAACAGTAAGGCAGTGTACATAAATCAATGAAAAGCAAGCAATAGGCTAAAATTTCAAACCAATTCCCAAAAAACCCAATTCCAAAAAAGATGGGACAGTATGTGAAAAGCATATAAAAACAGAAAGTTTTAAATACATGTGTGTTTTAATCAAACAAAAAGAAGCTGTGGTATTTTATATTTTACCTTATTAGCTTCATGTTTTTGTAAATATATGCTTACTCTGAAATTGCAACTCATTTTAAAAAACTTGGGACAGGAGCAATTTAAGACTAGACACGTTGTGAAATGTTCAAAAAACGTCTTACACAGGTGATGCAATCATGCTTGGGTTTAAAAGGAGCATCCAGGAAAGATCTACTCCTTTATGAGCAAGGATGGGATGGGGCTTCCCACTTTGCCAAGAAACATGTCAGTGAATAATCCAGCAAATTTAAGTAAAGCAAATGTTTCTCACCAAGCTATTGCAAGGATTTTAACTGTTTTACCCTCTACAGTGCATAATATCAGGAAACGGCCATAGACTATGACTGAATGCCTGTGACCTTCAACCACTCAGATGGCATGGCTGTAAAACCAGCATGCCTCTGTGATAGATCTCACCACATGATTTGACAAACTGTTCTCAATAAACACCATTTGTTGCTGCATCCAAATTCCATGTTTTACATGAAGTACACATGCTCTACAGCAGTGGTTCCCAACATGGTGCTGGAGAACCCCTGGCCCCACACATTTTAGTGTTTTCCCTGCTTCCAACACACCTGATTCAACTTATCAGCTAATGAGCAAGCCCTTCCTGAGCTGTGTTAGAGCAGGAAAACACCAAATTGTGCAGGACATGGGGTACTCCAGGACCTGTGCTCTATAGGGAACAGATTTTTTTTCTGAAAATTTTACTGCACAGTTTTATGGAAGAAAAATAAACATAAAACATTACATGTGCCATTACTTTTGCACAGGCCAAATGTTATGTTTTTGGTGTGTGTGTGATCTTTGTAGAAGATGCAGTAACTTATTTTTACTTGGAAAAACACAAAAATGTATTTTCTCCATGGGCACCCAAACTTTTGAATATGACTGTATGCATATATAGCTTTGCAAAATCAAAATTTAAAGATGAAATTAATGCCACATTATATAGCAACATATACTTTGTTAACTCTAAGCGCTCACTTTTCTTTCATTTTTGTCTCAGGTCCTTGAGGAAGTCTGGAGAGCTGTGGCTGGACGCATACCTCCACAAATAATCAGACCCAAGGAGACTAATTTTATGACTATTAGGATTATCGATAGCAAAGAAGCCTTAATTCACTTCAAATAATGTCTGTGATGTGCATTGACAGATTGTCTCAGTGTCTCCCTTCTCCTCTGCCATCTATGCTGGAACTGAAGTGTAATTATGGTGCTTTAGCTGTAACTGCTGTAACTGAATTGGGACCACAAACCTCATCTGAACCAGAGATCGCTATTATAAATATCTTTTTTAGTGCTGCAGCCAACATCACACAAACACAACTGCAGTTTCAATGCTGGATTTTACAACTGTTTAGAACTGTACTCAGAGATTTTCATAATTTTTCAATAGTACCTTTCTGACTTTGTCATAAAAAGCTTTCCTGAATGACATTTGAAACGAGACTATCAGAGTAAAATTAGGTGAGGTAACACCTTTAATGGGAGATTTAGTATATTACTGATCAATTTTGACTATGTTGTTACATATGAAAGAATCTTTGTCTTTGCTTTCTTGACCAGTCATCAAATAAAGTACTGTGAGACCACTCGTTATTTGCAGTCAAAATGTGACTGAGTAGTAGTTATTTATTTTCAGCATCAAGAAAAAACATATTTAACAGAAAATTACACAGAGTGTGTCCACTCTGCATTAATTACAGCTTTCATTCTTTTTGGGAAACTTGCTTTCAGTTTTTTTAAGAAATCTGCAGGGATATTTTTCCACACCTCCAAAATTCAGTTTAGAAGTTGGTTGTATTTTCTGCTTTTCATGATTCAAATAATCCCAAACACATTCAGTGATGTAGAGGTCTGGACTCTGGGGTCAGTTGTTTTGAGAACAATAGCAGCTTCTTTGTTTGACCTGCATATTTTCCGATTCCTGTTCTCAGTAACAGCTACTTGACAGCTACACATCCTTTCAGACTCACAGTGTTGAGTTGTCCTCTTACCTGTGGATTTTCTCAGATCTGAAGTGAGAGTGGAGATTGATTTTCTCCTCTCTCTCTCAGAAATGAAAGCTTTAAGCGCCGTTTATCTGATGGCGAAAGTTTTGCTGGTTTACCAGGTCTTACACGATTGTTAGGAGTCCCATTTTCTCTTCAACTTTCACACAGTTGAACTTCAGTTTTGGAAACTTTTTTGGTGTTTTTTCACTTATTTTTTTTTGACTGTCCCTCTTACTTGTGCAATTGGATTATCTCATATCCTCTCACTTCATAAATATCTCCTGAAAAATGAGTAACTTGTATTCAAAGGCAATTTTGATTGGAAATTGAATAATTAAAGGATGGTCTCTGACTTTTGCACAGTACTGTGTCTATGTAAATCTCAGAAAGAGATATTTGGAATGGAAAGTACAAACTGTATTTGATTTCCCGGCACAATGTTCAGTGTCACACTGGCCTTTAAACAACACTTACATTGTAAAATAAAACAGAGCTCATAAAAAAGTGCTCTATTTTTTATAGGCTGTATATAAATAATCTCTAAGGTCTATAACAACAAAGAACAGAAACACATATTTCATAATGAAACCATCAGCTGACTTTATTGTGTTCTTGCGTCATTCCTTCATGACAAAAATCAGCACTTGAACATGCATCTTTAGACAGGATTGGGGCGTATTTACATAAAAACACTTGTTTTTTCAAAACAAAGCTATTCTCATAAATCTAAACGAAAAATGGCATTTGAATGTGTTGAAAAGCCCATTAGACAAAGACTTGTAACCACATATACAATCGCTCCTTTAAACCTCTACAGAACATTCATTCTACACAAGATTGACATGAATTCTGTCTCTTGCTACTCTGATTTCCTCCCCTTTTTTTCATTCACATAGCTGAATGTTTCATACAGAGGTGTACATAAAGTTAAGCTTCATATTTTCTCAGCATAAACGGGTGTTAAACAATTTATGTGGAGGAATTAAAACAAAGCTTTCTCTAAAACAGAATAAATATACAAATCAAATGTATACAAGATCTTAATACATGTTCATATTGCGTGTAGATTATATGACAATGGCAAGAGGAATAATAATAATAAAGCAGGATTGTACACTGTTATGAAGAATGCTGATATTCTGCCATCTTCAATGTTTATTGTTATTATGGGTATTAAAATTTTTCCAGACTGGAGGCGGAGGCGATCTTCTCCTTCTGTTTCCTCATGATCTCCTGCAATTCAGAGTCCCCTTGGCTCTTCTAATAAAAAGATAAGAAGAGAATTATTGTTTTTTTCTGCCTTCTGCTGCCAAATTTTGCTGATCTGAGATCTGAGATTTCTCTTATAATGGTTAGAGCTCCTGCTCTCAAAAATGAGTCTTCTTAAATGGTTAGCTCCTTTGGCTTGTTCAATTTACTCAATTTTGGTCCAATTTACTGAAATGTACTAATGAGAAATTACAATGTGGTAAGTTTTAGCTACAGAACACACCTGCACTGAATGTAGCTAACCTAATGCTTGTAATATTTGGACAGTTAATTTGCTACTTAGATTACTTACATAACAATTGTAAAAGTTTAGAGATGCTTTTTCTTAGTTTCTTGGACAAAACAATAATAAATAAAAAAATTAAACAAACTATTATTTAAGACAGATTCATTTTTAGGGCTTAAAATAAACTTTAGGTGTACTTCATGATTTGGCTATAGGAAGCTATTCCCACTTCAGCGAAAAACGTTTTATGTCATCATGCTGTTTACAAGTCACTTTACTCATTTTCAGAAACTAAAATGAATGACACAAAAGGGGCAAATGAAATGAGAAGCATTCCAATAATAAAACACCCACAGCAGTGAGACTGGAGTTTGAACTGTAAGAGAGAGATTGTATGGGGGCATTTCATTCCTGCATGTTGAGGTAGCAGACAAGTTATCTGCGGTTACTTTAGGTTATCTGCGGTTGGCTGTTTGCCTCTCGGTGAAGTGTAAAAGGTAACTGACCTCTAGCAAAGATTTCTGCACAGTGAGCTGGCTGTAGACCCGTGATCCTTCATCTCCACACACGGCCTTCAGCTCTTCCTTTTCCAGAGAAAACAACTGAGCCCCGCTCAGAACACCCAAACAGTCCACCGTCCTGAAAAACATACACAGACATAAACAGTTTTATGGACATCAAGAAACAGGTTTATGAAGTGAACATTATATTGATAAAGTGTTGTTTATTTTATTTGCTCTCTTCAGTTTTAGTTATTTCCTTTCTATTTCATTCTATCTTCATTTTTTTAAATTGCAGAGCGCACCAATGTATCTCGACATAACCCTTATCAGGTGAACCAATAGCTGCAGGGCAAATGATCGGTATAAAGGCCTTTATGGATGGGGTCTTCTGCAGAGGGACAGCGTGCTCTTCGCCTAAAGGCATCAGACTGTGCTCTCTAGAACTCTCTTCAATGGCACAGAAAAAGATTCCCAACAATAGTATGTTCTCACACATGACAAAATGAACATACGGTTTGGAGAAGCCTTTGGTGTTGAGCCAGGCAGTGACCTCAGCAGAGGTGGACTTAAGTGTGAGGGGGATGGCACGACTGGAGTGACGCTCCACTTTGAAGTTGCGCGTTGGTGGCTGTTTCTTATTTGCTGTGATCCGTTTCAACAGCTCATCATTCACTTCATCCATCTGATGAGTGCGGACTGAGAGAGACAGAGAGAGAAGGAGAGGGTAAGAGAGCGTGACAGAGGGTGTTTGAGTGATGTAAACCTTCCTGCAGTGTGCTTTGTTAAATGATACCAACATTTGATTGCAAACATTACAAACACTACACACTGTAATTTTCAGTGTATTTTATGATCAAACCTACACTGATACATTAGTTTGAGTATTGTTGCAAAAAAGCCCACCAACACTCACTTCTCACTGATGCATTGGTGCAGTACCAGTCGAGCGTTTAGACACACTTGATTAAATGTACATTTTTCATAATCTATAAGTTCATTTGATACAAAGCCGAAATGCTTGAAATGTGTTCCTAATATGAATATCAACCTAACAGTTATGAGGGAAGCATTTCAGGTGGCATTTCAAGGCAAAGGGAGGATAAAATAAGATACTAAGATACTTTTCATTTGTTTAACTCCTCTTTGGTCACTGTGTCATCTGTGTCATCTGTGAGACAGTATTTTGATCCAAGTGAGAAAATCTAAAGGCTGTTCCTCAAGTGCCAAATTTTAGAAAGAAATTTTAAATAAGATCCCCTCTTATTTGAATTTTCTTCTCCATGACATGGTTAATACCTGTATGAAATCAGCGTGAGACTCCAGCAATTTTCTCCAGAATTTCTTTTCTCTTGGAAGTTTTCAACATATCATTATATATGCTAAAATCGGGCTGTTTCCACATTATAAACGGTCAGATTTAAAAAATGAGTAACAGAAACTGAGGCTCCATAAACAAACTCACTGTCTTTATCACGTGGTGATCTTGGCATGTCGAAACTGTCCCCTCTCCCCAAAGAACCAGAGGGAGATGAACTTTTATAGGGCTACAGAGAGAGAGAGAGAGAGAATCAGGAATGAGACGGTCCTCACAGTGCAGTGACAGCGCAGAGGGGCTGGTAAGAGAGTGGGAGTTACCTGGCTGTACACTAGGTCCATGCCGTGAAGTTCCTCTGGTGTAACTACATCAAGCACGTTGTAGGGTACATACCCAGCTTGGCCACTCCTGTTCCTCAACTTCCACCATTGCTTATCATCCTCAATTACCTTCACACAAACAGCTTCTCATCAGTAAAGCTCATTTCCAACCCTGCTCCCAACCCAACTCCCAAACAACTCTCTCTCGATCTCTTTCTCCTTCACTCTCTCTCACCTCTAAAATCTCGTCTTGAAGGACAGAGAGCTCATTGGCATTACGGGCCACAAAGTGGTAGCGGATCTTGGCATATTTCCGGCTGGGGGAAGGTGCTGTGTAGGACCTGCATGGGTTAAAGAGTGAAATCCACAGTCAGTGAAGCACATTCTCTAATAGGTTTTACTCCTGTTAACTAAGCCATTCTAATTGTCTGTAAACTAACCAATACAAAAGAGACCCATATCAGCATTTAAGTGAATGTTTCATTAGCAGGTCAGTAATGAACTGATGTAGAGTTAGAGAAATGCTACTTTAACATTAAACATTTTTTCACAAGCCCTACAATTGCTCAATTATTTGTAGAAAAAGTGGGAGGGTAAAAAGTATGTTTAACCTATATTTATTCTTGATGCTTTTAATGTAACTGGTTTGGACTCACCCGTTTGATGACAGTGAGGACTGTGAGCCGAAGAACTGTAAAAAGAGAAAGGCAAAAGAAAGATTTGCTGGCATAACAGTGAAGTTTACAGTGGGATAATGCACATTGTAAGCTATTCAGATAGGTGGCAATAAGTATTAAAGGAGAATTCCACAGATTTTTATGCATCATTCAATCTTTAAAATGTAAATAAAGTCATTTAGTGAAATGCTGCGTGCTAAAGAAGCGTACAGAATCAGAACTGTTCACAGTGGTGGTGATAGCAACTAAAGGTATCTAAAAGCTTCCTAACAAAAAGCTATTAAATGCAATGCTTACGAATATGCTGT